GACACCGTCGGGACACCGACGCGCCACCGACGGGACACCCCTGGCCACCGCGCGCTGGCTGGGGGTGGGGGGGGGGGCAGACAACCGGCTGCAAAGCCCTAATCACGGCGGCATCATTCCTCTCGCGCGCCCACGCAGCTTCGCCTCGCGCGCACGCACGACACGAACGCGAAACCGAAACCGATTTCCTTGTGGGAGGCTCTCCGTTCCACTGGGATCTCATCACCCCCTCACCTCCGACTCAAGAGGGGAGAAACACAGACACAAATCATCGTCGGTTCCCAGAGAGAATGTGGGAAGTGGAAGGAGAGACGGAAATCCAGAATGTCTGGAGAAATGTGGGGAATCCTGAGATGTGTGTCTGTATCCTTTTGTGTCCTTGGGTCCCTTCAAATACTGTTTCTCTGGTTCAAGTCATCGATTTGGGTATCAGCTTCTCTTGTGCGAATGACGTGAGCATTTCCTGCGGCAATGTCTTTATCGGTGCTCGCCGTGCTCGGCTGCGTCATCGTGCTCTTCATAAACGTGCTGGTGCCGCTCATGTCGGCGAGATCGCTCTACCATAAGGGCGTGCAGCCCGTAGTGTGGTGGCGCGTTTTCGCCATGGCAACTCTGTTGTCGCAGGTTGGGATCTCCATCGGCTACCACCGTTTTTTCAGCCACCACAGCTTCGACACATCTGCTGCCGGCAAGTGGATCTTGGCCAGCATCGGGACTCTCACACTGCAGGGCTCTCCCTTTTACTGGGCGGCACAGCATCGCCTTCATCACGATCATTGCGAAAGGGCGGAGGACCCGCATTCGCCTTTGCACGGTTTCTGGCATGCACACGGCGGATGGTTGACGGGGCTAACGGGCCCAACAGTAGATTCCCATCCAGAATGGAGCATGCGCCTGGTCCACGATTGGGCAGGGGACCCAGATCTCCAACCTTTACTCTTTGGCCACATGGCGACTGCACATCCATTGGTTTTGATGGTAGGTTTGCCCGTGTTTAGTGTGGTTGCTTTTGGCCGCCATGCAACTCTTTGGTACTTGCATGTGCCTCAATTTCTGGCTTGGCATGCTACGATGTCGGTGAATTCGGCAACGCACACGTTCGGTTATGAGCGGGGGCAGGGCTATCTTGGCAGCTTATCCGATTCTGTGATCCGCATCGCAGAGCGGGCAGAAGTTTGTCGGGCGCGTAATGTACCTTGGTTGTTTGGAATCCTACTTGGAGAGGCATGGCATGCAAATCATCATGCTGCGCCGCACGTGACCTCAATGGAAGGCAGTTGGTGGGAGGTGGACCCGCAATTCCGATTCTTACAGTTAGCTCAAACAGTCGGCTTGGTTTGGAATGTAAAACCTGCCAATCATGCTTCGCTGCATAGGTTCAATGGTTGTATGCTGCTGCTATTCTTGCAAATGGTTTCGATACCTGTGTCTTGTTTCTGTTGCAAGAGCCTCTGTGGCTGCGTCACAAGGCTGCGAAACCCTGTTAAATGCGATTGACATCCTGGCCTCGAGCCTGCAGCAAGCAGATCGTGTTTTGCAGCAGCTGAACCTTTGTAGCGTTGAGTGTGTCTGTTATGTTATGACTTCTGACCTTAGGCGCTTTCTCCGTGGAGCAGTTTGTCCAAGTGACCTTTGATGACAGCCAGTGCCGTCATCATGTCTAGGTATATGGAACATGCTGGACGAGATGAACAAACGGTCACAGAGGCACATTGAGACACATGGATTATCCATGCACACATACATGCAATTCACAACCGTATCATATTTTCAGATGCGTATGGGTAGGGCAGCCCGCGGCCCAAGTGGCCCCTGAGTGGGGCCCAACAGGACCCAAGAGACATCCCTGAGAGGGTTCCAGGACCGCCGCAGTGGCTCCCAGGAGGGCCCCCCCTGAGTCTAAGGCAGCACCAGGGGGCCCCCGCATTGTCGCGTATGGCCCTAGAGGGATAGAGGAACGCCTCAAGGGAGTCTCATCACGGGACCCCAGGGGGGGGGGGGCAGTACAGGTTCGCCGATCGCTGACATATTGTTTTCGTGCGTTTGTGTTTACGTATTTATTTGGTTTCCGGTCATTTGCACAGAAGTGTATGTAATCGCATACACAAACACAAAACATACACAGGAAGGACATGTTGTGGGCGCCATTTTTTAAGCGCGACATTTGGAAGCATATCAGTGTCGCCGAGTTGAAAACCGATGTTTTTGTTAAATTGCCTTATAACTTCATGTGTGAGGGCTGAGTCTTTGGTTAGGCGGTAATCGTGTGCGCGGTGACGTGACTGCAGCAATGAGATGGTTTCATGTATTGCGTGTTCTCCAGATCAAGAAGAACATGTTGCCGCATAATCGCATGCATACATATCGCGATATTGAATCATGAGTTGTCGTTGTTCGACATTTCGATGGTTCCCCGCACATTCGGCCTGCATGCGAGATCCACACTCCTAGACGCTTCGTGTATCCCCACCAGTTCCGTAGCCCCCCCTGGCTCAAGCTGCTCTGGCTCAGGCGGGCCTCCGCGGCTGGCCGGGCCTCCGCCCATCGGCCCTCGGCCTCCCCGCCCGCGGGGGCGTGCGAAGGGGTCGCCTCCCTCCGCGCCCCCGCTCGCTCGGCCATGGGGTCCCGCCCGCCGACGCGCCCGCCGCGGCCGCCGCCGCCGCCTCCGCCGCCGCGGCCGCCACGGGCGGGCCGCTGCCGCCGCAGTCGTTGGCTGTGGCAGCTGGCCGTGGCGCTGCTGGCTCTCCGCCGTGCGCCTTCGAGGGCGAGTTGGGCCTGCAGGCGCCCGTCGGCTACTGGGACCCGCTCGGCCTTGCGCAGGACGGCGACGCGGATGTCTTCGACAGGATGAGGTGCACCGAGATCAAGCACAGCCGCGTCGCCATGTGGGCCGCCATGGGGTACATCGTGCCGGAGTTTTTACGGTGGCTGGGAGGTGTCGCCCTCGATGGGCCTGCCTTTGCGAGCCTTCCGAATGGCCTGAGCGCTCTGGGCAAGGTGTCTGGTGCCGGCTGGGGTCAGAGGTTCCTGTTCTGCGGCTTCCTCGAGCTTTACACGGCCAAGCAGGACCCCACGGACCCTCCGGGCAAGCTCAGCAGATCCGAGGCGGGCTTCGGAAAGTCGTACTTCGGGGCCCTCAAAGTGTTCAAGGGGGACGGCATCGCGGACCCTGAGAAGAACAAGCGGTCCCTGAGCGCGGAGCTGGCCAACGGCCGCCTGGCCATGATGGCCATCATCGGGGTGAAGCTGTCCCTCTACGAGGTGCCCCGAGGAACTCAGAGTAGTGCAGATGAGGAGAGGAGGATAGCAGAGCAGGAGGAGGTGGCGGCGGAGGAGCAGGAAGGTGTGTTGCACGCTACGGCCCAGGAGGCCGTTGCGCTCTGAGGGCTGAACGCAGCGCCATGCAAGGCCCCCCAGTGGGGCACCGCCTGTGCGGGGTGGTAGCGGCGGAGGCTGCCCCCACAGTAAACAACTCCGCCGCCCGCCAGCGAACCGACCCTCACGCGAGGGGGGGCTGGCACATTGTGAACTATTGTGAGTCTAGCGCACGGACTCGGCGACGTCGGAGGCACTCGTGGGTCCGCAGGCCTGCCAGGAGGTGCCGCCAGATCAGCCTCGCCGCCATCTCCGAGCTAAAGGTTGCCAATCTGAACGTCCAGGGGCTCAACTGGACCGCCCACGATCACCGCTTCAAGATGAAGAGCCTCATTGACGAGGCCCGGCGGGGGCAGTGGCACGTCGCTTGGCTGTCCGAGCTGCACTCCCCGGATGCCTTGGCCGTGGTGGCTGTGGAGGAGTACGTGTTGGTGGCAGGGCGTCGCAGCGGCTTCTTGCTCAGCCCGGTCGGGTTGCAGGCGTGGGAGGCGGGCGGCTGGCAGCACGAGAGCCACGGGGACCGCATCTGCCGGATGGTGCTTGAGCTCCGCGGCCAGAGGATCCAGGCGCTCTCGGCATACTGGCCCACACAGGGTCAAACTGAGGAGCGAGCTGATGTCTGGGAGACCGCTTCTTCTTTGGCGGCACACTTGCCGCGGCGGCATTGGCAGTGGTGGGGTGGAGACTTCAACTCTCACATCGGCCGCCAGGTGGGGCCAGTCCCAGACAGAGAGGGGCCACACAAGCTCGACACCCCCACGACCACCGGAGGAGGCGAGCTGAGGCTCTTCATGCGGGATGCGGGTCTGCACCTGGCCGACTCGCTGCAGAGGGTCCACAAGCGAGGCACCTGGTGGCACGCCCAGAGAGGCCGATGGTACGAAAATGACGTGTGGGTCGCGTCTGAGCCTGTGGCCAAGCGGCTCCACGGCTTCACCACCTTTGCGACGCCGATCTCCGACCACCGGGGCAAAGTGGCCCGCCTCACCCTCGCCACCGCCCTCAGCAAGAGGGAGCGGCAGCTGCTAGCGCGCCCAGCTCGGGATGCCAAGCCCGCCCCCCGCATCGCGGTGGAGCACATGTCTGGCCGGGCCCCGGAGGCTCGTCAGCGCTGGGCGCGGTACCAGGAGGCGGCAGAAGCAGCGTCCGCCGCGACGGAGCCACCGGACACGGAGCCCGATTCGTGGTCCACGCTGGCGGCGGGCCTCTCCCAGGCAGCTGCGGAGGTCTGCGGCCGCAAGCCGGAGCGCATCGGCCTGCCCTTCCTGGCGGGACACGCAGAGGAGGCCGAGAAACGAATGGCAGAGCTGCAGCGGTCGTGGGCGGCACTGTGTGACATGCGCGGCAAGGCGGGGGAGCACCAGTACAGGAAGGAGTACAATGCTGCATCTCACGCCTTCCGCCGGGTCAAGCGGCGGTGGAAGGCAGAATGGGTGGATTCTATATGTCAGGAGCTGACGGTGGCGTCGGAGCGGCACGACGAGGGCCGGTTCTACCGAGGACTGAGAGCCCTGGGTGTGGACCTCGCCAGTTGGTCTCGCAAGGGCCAGGTCGATTTCACAGCGGAGCAGGGACGCACACATTGCTACAATATCGGGAGGGAGCCCAACGTCGTCGACGACGAGGTGCTCGCACGGCTTCCTCCTCCGCGCCCTGCCCGGCCAGACCTGGACGACGTCCCAGACGAGGCAGAGTGCTTCCAGAGATTCAAGGAGATGAAGGATTCAGCTGGGGGCAAGGACGAGGTCCGCAAACTCTTGGCCAACGCCGGGCCGGTCACCCGCCGGCGCCTTTTCAGACTGGTCCGCCAGCTCTGGCAGCAACCAGTGGCGGAGTGGGAGGCATCGGTGCACTCGGGCGTGGTGTTTCTGCTGTACAAGAACAAGGGCAGCCGCACCGACCTGGACAACTACAGGGGGATCTGCTTGTTGTCCTTCCTGAGCAGGCTTGTGGCTCGGATTATGGCTTGCCGTCTTCGTGATTATGCTGAAACCCTCGACATCTTTTTGCCGGAGGCTTGGGGCTTCCGCCCGTACCGGTGCACTTGCGACGAGATCTTCCTCGTGCGTCGGCTCATCGACCTCGCTGTGGCGCCGGGCGGCGACTACGCCGGGGACGGGCTGGGCATTGAGTTGGCGGACATCAAGAAGGCGTACCCCAACGTGAGCCGACAGGTGTTCCGCAAAGTCATGCTGAACGAGGGCGTCCCCGGGAGGATGGTCGACCGTCTCTGCGGCCTGCACTCGAACACCACCTACCAGGTGCGGACCCGCTTGGGCTTCTCCGAGCCCTACCGGCTGGCGCGGGGCTTCCGGGAAGGGTGCCCCAGCTCTTGCGTGTGCTTTAACTACGTGCACAACAGTGTGGTCCGGGACTACCGGCGGGCCGCCCGAGCAGAGCTCCCTCCGGAAAGCAGAGTCCACTGCACGGTGCACGCTGACGCGGGCTGGCACGGGCTGACGGGGGAACGAGCGCAGGCGGCGCGAGCCGGGGCGGAAGCAGCAGGCCAGACTCTCGACTTGGACCAGGTGATCTTCGCCGACGACACTGGCACAGTGGGCCGCTTCTCGGCCCAACCCGCTCGGAAGGCACTCTTGACCAGGATTTTCGCCGACTGGGGGGCCACCATCCACCCGGGTAAGTGGCAGTGTCTCTGCGTCACGCCGCGGGGCGACCCCACGCCGGAGGGCTGCGTGTCCGACGCGGAGCTGCTGGGCGCCTGGCTGAACGAGCGGGGCGACAACACCAGGGACACGAAGGAGCGGATCGAGGCCGCGAGGCAGGTCTGGCGCAAACTCCACCGACAGCTTCCACAGCTGCACCTCTCTCTGACGCTCAAGGGCCGGGTGGCGCGGGCATCTGTAGAGGAGTCATTGCTCTACGCCACCGAGACGCGCTGCGTCAGCGCTGGTGAGCTCGACGTCATGCAGAAATTCATGAACCGCGTGATTCGGGGGCTTGCTCTGGGACACCGTGGACTCGCTCGAGGCCTCCGGGAGATGAAGGGGCGCTTCACGCAGACCGACCTCCGCCTGGCACTGGGCCTTCACACAGTGCGCGTGCAGCACGGCAGGCGCCTTCTCCGCTACTTGGGGCACCTCGCCCGGCTACCGCCCGAGCGCCTGGAGCGTCAATCCCTGTTCGCGTGCCTGTGGCCCGAGGCCGGCAGCACGAGGCCTGGGCACCGGCTCACGTACAAGAAACAGGCTTGGACCCTACTGAAGGCGTTGATGCAGCTCTCCGGGCGCCCTCCCGCGGACTGGATTGAGGTGGCACAGGAGAACGGCGGCAGCACTTGGAAAGACCTGATCGCCCGGTGGGTGGAACAGCAGGCGGCAGTGGACGACCGCGACACTCACGCTCGCCGGCACGCCAACGATGCCCCACCAGTGCCGAGCCGCCGGATACGGGGGAAGCAGCGGCCGCCTCACCGGCCGGCGCCAGAGCCGAAGCCCCCCGCGCGCCGTCGGCAGCAGCGCTCCTGGACCTGCCCCAGCTGCGGTTCCACCATGACAGAGGGGTCGCGGGTGAACCACCAGGCTCTCTACTGCCCTATGAGAGGCGCCCGGCCCCAAGCCACACGACGAACCAAGAGGGTTCGAGCGGCCCCGCCCTTGCCGCGAGAGGCCGGGGCGGAGAGGGGCGGAGAAGGAGGCAGCGGCGGAGGGCGCGAGGAGGAAGAGGAGGCGGCGGAGGAGGCGGAGGAGGCGCAGGCAGCAGCCAGCAGCGGCGGAGGGCGCGAGGAGGAGGAGGAGGCGGCGGAGGAGGCGGAGGAGGCGCAGGCAGCAGCCAGCAGCAGCAGCGGACGGGGCGGGAGGGGAGGCGGTGCGGGTGTGCGGAGACGCCCGGCGGCAGATCAGCCGGCCCGCCGTCGCCCGGCAGCAGTGCCCGAGGGTGAAGAAGATCCGCCGCCCCCGCCGCCCCCGCCACCGCAGGCCCCAGGCCTTCCCGACATCTTCACTCGTCGCCCTCGTCATGGATGGGTGGGCCGGGCAGCGTTGGCAGTGTTGGAAGAGGAAGTCCGGGCGTGCCCACCGCCGCCGGAGTCAGTAGCCCGGGGCTGCAATGGGAACTGCAAACAGTGTTGTCAGTGCGTGGCTTGTCGTCGATTCTCGGCCTGCTTTGGGCGGTGTGCCAAGTGCGCGGCCTGCGCCAAGTGCCGGCACGCCCATGAAGGGGGCCAGGCCCGCCCGCTGAAATGTAATTTCCGAGCATTGGTTGAGTGCCCATATTGTCATGAGTGGAAGGATTCAGCACATCCGATCAAGTGCGTGGCCGCACCGTATGACTTTTGGCAGGAGAATTGTCAGAGACGCTATTATGCACAGTTCCCAGAGAGCGAGCGGGCACATTGGAATATACAATGCCAACACTGCTCCATGCGTTTCCCATCACATTTGTCCCGGTCGCACCATTTGGCTCAGTGCGAGCAGCGACGGGTGCGGGCAGGGCTTCCTCTCAACCAGCATCCGGCGGTAGTGCGGGCGCCCTGATGCAGGCGCTGGCGGCGGCCCGCGCCGCGGCGGCAGCTCCCCCAGCGGCGGGAGGCCCGCCTGCGCCAAGTGTCGCCCCGCCTGCGGGTGCGGCCGGGGATGCGGAGCTGCTCCGGCAGGTCGCTGCCTTGGCCCTGGCGCACGACCGCGCCCTGCAGATGCACGACGACCGCGTCTCCTGGGTGTTCGTGGTGTACAACGAGGGGGTCCAGAGCGAGATCGTGCAGCTCCGGACGCAGTGGCGCGACAGCACCCCGGAGCCAGGGACGACGCACCCGATGGGCAGCCAGCGGGCGCTCATCCACGCCTGCCTGCTCGACCACGTGGTGTCCGAGCTGCCCGAGGGCGAGGACAGAGTCGTGGCCACGAGGCTCCGGGATGCCCCGCCGGAGGCCCTGGACCGCTGCGTCTTCCGCCTCCGCCCGCGGTACCCGGACCCGGCTCCGGGCTACCCGTGGGCGTGGATCCTCGTCGTGGGCCCGGCTGTGGACCCAGAGTACGTGGCGGGCCTCCAGCGCCTCTCCGCCGCGACGCTGGACGGTGTCCGGGTCATGCGTCACCGGTCCCAGGACGGCCCCCTGGCCGACGGGATCCGGGCGCACCTGGGCAAGGCCAAGGGCAAGGGCCGCAGGGGCAGGGGCAAGGGCAAAGGCAAAGGCGGCGGCGGCGGAGGAGGCGGCAAGGGCGCCGGCGGCGGAGGAGGTGGCGGCGGAGGCGGCGGTGCCGCCCCGCCGGCGGCTGGAGGCGGCGCCCTTCCGGCAGCTGGCGGCGGCGGCGGAGGCGGCGGCGGCGCCCCTCCGGCGGCCGCGGCGCCGGCGCCTGGCGGCGGCCCCCCGGCGGCCGCGCCGCAGCAGCAGGCCATGGGCCCGGACGCCGTCATGGTGCCGGCCGGCCGCCGGGGCGCCGAGGCCCCGCCCCCGGGGGCGCCCGCGGCCTCAGCCCCGCGGCGCGGCGGCCGCTGAGGCGGCGGCGCCGTCGCGGCCGTGTGCAGACTCACACGGCTCACACCCTCCGGCCGGCATTCCTCGGCGCTCTCGGGCGCGCTGGCCGGAGGGTCGGCCCCCCTCGGGGGGAGGCGGGCCGCCGGCCAGCCCTCGGGCACACGGCGCGCGGCCCGCCCACGGCGACCCCCCCTCCGAGAGGAGGCCGAGCGAGGAGGAGGAGGAGGAGGCAGGCAGCAGGAGAGAGGAGGCGGCAGTTTTGAGGATGAAGGGGGCCCGGGCCGCAGGAGCTGCGGAGAGGACGGCGGAGGCGGCGAGGGAGGCGGCGGTAGTTTTGAGGAGGACGAGGGCCCTGGCAGACCATAAGCCCAGGAGGGAGGTGGAGGAGGCGAGGCCGCGTCAGCCCAGGAGGGAGGTGGAGGGGGCGAGGCCGCGGAGGGAGGAGGAGGCAGTTTTGCAAGGAAAGGGGGCCCTGGCAGACCATAAGCCCAGGAGGAGCGAGGCGGAGGAGGTGAGGGCGAGGAGGAAGAGGAGGCGGGCGAGGGAGGAGGAGGCAGCTCCGGGACGGCAGGGGGCCCATCCAGCCGCAGCAGCGAGGAGGAGGAGGGAGGAGGCGCTGCCAGAGGTCACGTCGGCCTGGCGGCCTGGCAGCTCCTCGTGGGCACTGATGCCACCACACATGTTCTTCCAGGACGGCCTCACGGGCTCCGCCTGGGGCGACTGGGCGACCTACACGTCCATCCATAATCGGTACCCAGACGAGTTGCCCTGATCAGGGATGTGGAGGAGCATGCAGTGGAATACGGGGCTGGGTAAGACGTCATATCCCAAGAGGGGGAGGATTGAGGAAGAATCAGATGAGAAGCAGGAGGAGAAGGATGAGGAGGAGGAGGACCAGTGTAAACCCAAGACTCATCAACGATATTGCAATAAGCCCTCCCTCCAAGCTTCCTGTTTATAGGCTCTACAAGGATTGATTTTCACTGAGGGAAATGCCTCGCAGCCGCTTGAAGTCTGGAATCTGTACCAGAACGCCATCCCTGTGACTTCAACGCCCCGAAGCATTGTTACTGTTGCGTCTTGACGATCCTAACTGTTGCCAGAGCGCAGTTTCTGGGACTTCAACGCCCGAATCGACGTGACCGTTGCGCCCGGACATTCCAACATCGTGCCAAAACCACATTTCTGCGACGCTAAAGCGGACCGACCTCCAGCCGTGAAATTCTTAGAAATTTCAAGCTCCAGGGTCATACATGGTGAGGGAGGAAGTCTCGGACGAAACGCCTGGGCCGCCCTTTCGACTGGCCTCGGGATGCGAAAGGGAGGAACTATTCAGTGGGAAAGGACATGGATTAGGGAGAGGGGGAGGGGGAGGAGGGAGGAGCAAGATAAAGGCTCAGGCGGATGAGGAAGAAAATGAGGAGGAGGAGGAGGCGAAGGAGGAGTAGGAGGGCGAGCAGAAAGGCCAGAGGTCTCTTGGATGCCTCTCGGAGCCTCTTCGGATTTCTTTCGAGAGCTTCTTGGAGTCCTCTTGGGACGTCTCGGGGGTCTCTTGAAAGTCCCTGGGGCCTCGTGAGGCGTCATGAGTGCCTCTGGGAGGCCTCTTTGAGCCTCTTGGGGGTCTCTTGGGGGGGCCTCTTGGGAGCATCCTGGAGGCCTCCGAGGGGCTTCTTGGGGCTTCCTGGGGGCCTCTTGGGGCCCTCTTGGGGCACCTTCAGGAGCCTCGAGGGCAATCTTGAGGCCATCTTGGAGGAGATCGATCAAAGGAGGGGAGGGGGGGCTCCTTAATTAGGCCCCCCCCTCCCACAGGAGGTCAACATGTTGTCAACACCTTAGTGCAATCAACGATCTTGGCCGTCTCGAAGAGGCCATCTTGGACGCTACAACTACCCGCGGAACGCTCCGTTCAGGTCCAGGTGTAGTGGGTGGGGGAGGAGCAAACCCCAAGGGTACGAAGGAGGTTGGAAGAGGAAGCCTGCTAAGCCACTCACCCCTATAGGGCTGGTGGGGTTTTGCCATGTCCCCTGTGGCCCTGGGGCTGGTTGCTCTGATGTGTTGCCGCAGAAGCACAGCAATACCGAATTCATTATGGACGTGCATGTTTTCTGTATGTGGCGTTTCGATTGGGTGTTCCGCACATTCCGCACGTATGCGGCATCTGCAATTTTGCTACGGTCCTTGGGGTTGGTTGTTCTGGTGAGCTGCTGCGGAAGCTCGTGACATATCTATTGAGTTGTCCGCGCAGTTTGTATGCTTTCGCCATCTGCAGTTCTGCCATGGTCCCCGTGGCTGGTTGTTCTGTTGTGTTGCCGCTGTAGTACTGACACAATACATGTAGTATTGAGATGTGTGTGTTCGGCATGTGACGTTCCAATGTGACCGTCTTATCTTTTTGGCATGCGACGCGCTACACTGACTCATTCACATGCCGCATGCCCTCAGTACGATGTTGCCGCTCTGACTTCGGATTTTGTATTTTTGTGGGTGTTCACGAACCGTGGCCATACATGGGTCCACAAAAGGTTCGGAAAAAAGGCAGTCCTATCAACACGCATTTCTTAATTTGTATGTTCCAATCGCAACCGCATCCTGATGCCAATCATCTAGCAGCCACCCTGTTTTCTTGCTTGGTCGAGGCTGGAAACCAGCGAGCTTGAGCAGCCATCTTTCGCAGTGTATCTGCCTGCGTCATCATACCTGCGTCATACCTATTCCCGAGACCGGAGCGCGTCTGATGGTCTCACCTTGCTGTGATTTCCCCCCTGTGAGGGGATCTGCTTAAGTCTGGGTTTGCCTGGTCCGTCGGAGACCCGCAAGAGGGGTCGCGAGAGGGCCCCCAGAGGCTCCCTAGCGCCCCCCTCCCCCAGTGGGCCCGAGGCGAGAGGGTGGGAGGCGGGCGAGGCCACAGGTTCCGAGGCAGGAGCGCGGCGGGCGCCGCGGCGAGTCCACCGCCACGAGGCAGGTCGGCTGGCCCGGAGGCCAGATAGAGATCCCTGGCCGTAGGTACAGAAACGGCGATGTAGGTAATCACCACCCACCAAACCACCCCAACCCAACCCGAAGGCCCAAATTTATCCCCGATTTCCAGTGGGGGGGGGTCGGGGAACATTGAAAAAACACATGGAATCCGTATCCCCCCCAACCCGAAATTCGGGTCAAATTCGGGTCTTCGGGTTGGGTTGGGGTGGTCTGGTAGGTAGTCAAGATAGAGATCCCTGGCCGTAGGCACGGAAGCGGCGATGTAGGTAACGGCCATGGTGAGGATGGGCAACCTCCTCGAGGGTACCCTTGCATCCTTGCCTCCCCAGCTTACCCTTGGCCACTCTCGTTGGCCGCGCCCCGCCCGCCAGGTGTCGACACGGCCTTCAGAGGCCCCTGCATCCGTGTCGCGCGTCCTTCTGATACGAGTCGCCTGTAACGGCGATGTATGTCTCGGCATTGTAGTCGGGGGCGGTTCGTGGCCAGCCCAGTTGTAGGCAAGCGTTGCTCGTGTTCTGCCGCATCTCGCGGTGTCGTACCTGAAACGCAGGAGAGCGTGGTGCGTGTTTTCCTACAAAATCCCCACATCCAAAGTGGGGTTGTTGTTTTTCTTGACATCCCGCGCAGGAACAGAACACCCACTCGCTCACTCACTCACTCACTTGGACACTCATTCACTCACTCATTATCATCAGCATCGTCATTGTCAACACCGCGTCACCAGCACTCGTCATCATCATCATCATCAGCACTTATCACCATCACCATTCATCATCATTATCATCATCATCATCATCATCATCATCATCAGCATCATCATTTATCATCAACATCACCATCTTCATCACCAGCACCATCACCCATCGATCATTCACCATCATCATCACACATCATCATCAAAAACATCATCGCCACTCACTCAGTTATACTTTCGTGGTCACTCACATGAATCCTCTCAGCAACCCCAACATGAAACTAAGTGTCTCGGCCCTCTCAGGTCTGGATTTTGGGGAAATATGGAGCGGGAGCCTCGTTTGTGAGTGAATTGCGATGAAGTCCCTGGCGGGAGCCCCCTTCCCTATGGGGCCCGCAGATTATGTTACTAATCCGAGTGGGTCATTCGATTCCTGTAACTGCCCTCACGTTTGGCCTCCTCATGCCTGAATATGGGAGAAGTTTTGGTCGGGAGCCTCGCCTGTGAGTGAATTGCGGGGAAACCTCAGGCGGGAGCCACCTCCCTATGGGGCCCGCAGATCATGTTACTAATCCGAGCGGGTCATTCGATTCCTGTCACTGTCGTCACTTTTGGGCTCCTGAGGCCTGAATAGAAGTTTTGGTCGGGAGCCTCGTCTGTGAGTGACTTACGGGGAAGTCTTAGGCGGGTTCCCCCTCCCTATGGGGCCCGCAAATCATGTTACTAATCCGAGCGGGTCATTCGATTTTTGTAATTGTCGTCACCTTTGGGCTCCTGAGGCTTGAATATGGGGAAGCATCGGTCGAGGGCCTCGTCTGTGAGGGAATTGCGGGGAAGTCTGAGGCGGGACCCCCTCTCTATGGGGCCCGCAGATAATGTTACTCATCCGAGCGGGTCATTTGATTCCTGTCACTGTCGTCACTTTGGGGCTCTTGATGCCTGAATTTGGGGGACATATCAGGCGGGAGGTTTGTCTGCAAGGGAATTGCGAGGAAGTCTCAGGCGGGAGCCCTCACGGGCCATCCCTCCCTATGGGGCTTGCACTTCGCGTTGGCAATCCAAGCGTTTTATGCCGAGCTGGTCGTCGGCAGACATCCCGCGGTTCCGCAGTTGTGCGGGACACAAGGGCGACTGAAGGGCTCACGACGACGACGACGAGACAACGGCCGGGCGCAGGGGTAACCTGTTGTGTCCAGGCCGGGGGTGGTAACCCATCCTCGGCCGAATCGGGGGCTGGGGTAACCCCTTGTCTCTGGGCCGCCGGTGGTAACCCACCGGCGGCCGAATCGGGCGCAGGAACAGCCCGTTGCGTGTGGGCCAGGGTTGGTAACCCATTTTCGGCCGAATCGGGGACGGGTAACCCTTTGTTTCCGGGCCGCTGGTGGTAGCCCATCGGCGGCCGAATCGGGTGCAGGGGGAGACTGTTGCGTCCGGGCTGGGGGCGGTAGCCCAGACCAGAACGCTGCACAATGCTTGTGCCATGCGAGCCCAAAAGTACATCAACGCGAAGCTGCGGCCGGGGGGCATGTAGAAGAGGACGAAGTGGTAGTGGGAACACGTCCGCGTTCTTGCCATCGAGGAGATAGGCATGGTGGCAGCCGCGGTGTACAACGCGTTGGACCTTCGCGCGGGCCACGGACGCACTGACGCGCACGACGTGCAGGAGTCCACCTACCAGCGGCCGCACCACTTCGGGCGCGTCCCCATCGCGTTGCACCTCGGCGACTTCCTGCAGCTGAAGCCCGCCGGCAGCATTGGCCTCCTGACGGACCCGAACGAGCGCCTGGACGACGACGGGCCGTACAAGTACGCGGACCCGCCGACGGAGGATATTCAGCACGCCATCGAGGTATTCTCTCATATCCCCTGCGCCTTCGAGCTGAAGGGCACGAAGCGCTTCGAGCTCAGGGGCCTCTGATCACGTTCCCGAACTGCACGCGCGAGGGCAAGTCCTTCCCTCGGGAGGTCTGGTCCGCCTGGGAGAAGACGTTGGCCTCGGACAACCGCGGCGTCCTGGACCGTCGGCACCAGCGCGAGAACTTTCGGCTCGGCTACGGCATGGGCGTACACTGGGAGACCATGGCGAGGTGGATCAACACGCGCGCTCGTCGCGACGCACGGCGCCTGGGCGTGCCCTTCGTTTTCTTGCAGGCCGTGGGCGAGCGCAGCTCGATTCAGGGCGATCCCGACGCGGGTCGGCGCTACGTCATGTTCCCCCGCGCCGCGCGCGCGCGGAACATGCTGATCTTGCGGCCACCGCCGCGAGAGCTCCTGGAGCGAGGGCTGCCAGCGTCCTTGCCGAAGGCGCCCGAGGAGTTCGACAAGGGAGCGGAGTGGTCCAGGGCCGACGCTGAGCAGTTCGCGGCACATCTGAGCTTCGCCCTGCCTCCCGCCTGAGCGCGTCTGCTCCCCTCCTAGAAGCCCGCCGGGTTGCCCCGACGGCTTGGTCTTGCGCGCCAGCGGCTCGCGCGGTTGCCCCGGCGTCCTGGCCCGCGGGTCTGCCCCAGCGGCTGCGCGACGCGGCAATTCGAGAACGCGCCCGTGCTGGCCGATGCGACGACGGCGCCGAGGAAATCGACATGCGCGTTCGAGCGATAGAAAGAAAGGGGGGGGGGTGGCGGGGCGCGGAAAAACAGGAGGGCGAGGGCGGGGGAAACGAAACGTAGGGAGCGGGGGAAGGGCCTGCGCCAGGGCAGGGCGAGAAGAAATATACGCAGAAGGGACAGTAAGGATGCTCACCAATCACGAGGCCGACGGCGAAGGCTCTGCCCGGATTTGGCCGCGAGTTCGGCGTCGGCCTGAGTCTGGGAATGGCCCGAAGCTGGCCGTGGGCGGCAAGGAGCGTGGGGGGTCCTCTCTCTCTTTCTCTCTCTCTCTCTCTCTCCTCTCTTTCTCTCGCTCCTCTCTCTCTCTCTCTCTCTCTCTCTCTCTCTCCTTTCTCTCTCTCTCTCTCTCTCTCTCTCTCCTCTCTCTCTCCTCTCTCTCTCTCTCTCTCTCTCTCTCTCTTGCTCTCTCTCTCTCTCTCCTCTCTCTCTCTCTCTCTCTCTCTCTCTCTTTTTTTCCCAACCATCCTGTGGTGTTGGGTCCTCGTTTTGAAGAGACGGTGCCCCGCGTTCCTCTCCTCTTCTCTCCTCTCCTCTCCTCTCCTCTGCTCTCCTCTCCTCTCCTCTCCTCTCCTCTCCTCCTCTCCTCCCCTCCTCTCCTCCTCTCCTCTTCACCCACCCAGTACACCGCTTCGTGGTTCCATAGGGAGCTCCACCGAAGGCCCCAGTGCCCGCGCCCGCATGCGTCACCCACACCCATTTCGGCACACCCCTCACACGTTTCGTGGCTCCATAGGGAGCTCCACCGAAGGCCCCAGTGCCCGCGCCCGCATGCGTCACCCACACCCATTTCGGCACACCCCTCACACGTTTCGTGGTTCCATAGGGAGCTCCACCGAAGGCCCCAGCGCCCGCGCCCGCATGCGTCACCCACACCCATGTCGGCACACCCTTCACAGGTTCCGTGGCTCCATAGGGAGCTCCACCGAAGGCCCCAGTGCCCGCGCCCGCATGCGTCACCCACACCCATTTCGGCACACCCCTCACACGTTTCGTGGCTCCATAGGGAGCTCCACCGAAGGCCCCAGTGCCCGCGCCCGCATGCGTCACCCACACCCATGTCGGCACACCCCTCACACGTTTCGTGGCTCCATAGGGAGCTCCACCGAAGGCCCCAGTGCCCGCGCCCGCATGCGTCACCCACACTCGGCACACCCCTCACACGTTTCGTGGCTCCATAGGGAACTCCACCGAAGGCCCCAGTGCTGCCGCCCGCATGCGTCACCCACCCAATTCGGCACACCCCTCACACGTTTCGTAGCCCCATAAGAGCTCCGCCGAAGGCCCTTGTGCTGCCGCCTGCATGCGCCACCCACGCACAATTCGGCACACCCCTCACACGTTTCGTGGCCCCATAGTAGAAGCTCCGCCGAAGGCCCCAGTGCTGCCGCCCGCATGCGTCACCCACACCCAATTCGGCACACCCCTCACACGTTTCGTGGCCCCATAGGATCTCCGCCGAAGGCCCCAGTGCTGCCGCCCGCATGCGTCACGCACACCCAATTCGGCACACCCCTCACACGTTTCGTGGCCCCATAGGGAGCTCCACCGAAGGCCCCAGTGCTGCCGCCCGCATGCGTCACGCACGCCCAATTCGGCACACCCCTCACACGTTTCGTGGCCCCATAGGGAGCTCCACCGAAGGCCCCAGTGCTGCCGCCCGCATGCGTCACCGCACACCCAATTCGGCACACCCCTCACACGTTTCGTGGCCCCATAGGGAGCCCCACCGAAGGCCCCACTGCTGCCGCCCGCATGCGTCCCCATACCCAATTCGGCACACCCTCAACGTTTCGTGGCCCCATAGTGAAGCTCCGCCGCATGCACCCACACAATTTGGCACACCCCTCACACGTTTCGTGGCCCCATAGGGAGCTCAGCCGAAGGCTCCAGTGCTGCCGCCCGCATGCGTCACCCACACCCAATTCGGCACACCCCTCACACGTTTCGTGGCCCCATAGGGAACTCCACCGAAGGCACAAGTGCTGCCGCCCGCATGCGTCACGCACACCCAATTCGGCACACCCCTCACACGTTTCGTGGCCCCATAGGGAGCTCCGCCAAAGGCACCAGTGCTGCCGCCCGCATGCGCCCCGCACACCGATTTCGGCACACCCCTTACACGTTTCGTGGCCCCATAGGGAACTCTACCGAAGGCCCCAATGCTGCCGCCCGCATGCGTCACGCACACCCAATTGGGCACACCCCTCACACGTTTCGTGGCCCCATAGGGAGCTCAGCCAAAGGCCCCAGTGCTGCCGCCCGCATGCGTCCCGCACACCCAATCCGGCACACCCTCATACGTTTCGTGGCCCCAAAGGGAGCTCCGCCGAAGGCCCCAGTGCTGCCGCCCGCATGCGTCCCGCACATT